AGGGCACTTCTTACATGGTGGTGGCAAGAGAAAATGAGGAAGAGGCAAAAGAAGAAACCCCTGAAAAACCCATCAGATCTCATGATACTTATTCACTATCATGAGAACAGCTTGGAAAGACTGGCCCCCATGATTCAGTTACCTCCCCTTGGGTCCCTCTCTTAACACATAAGAATTTTGGTAGATACAATTCAAGTTGAGATTTGGGTGGGGACATAGCCAAACCATATCATAAGTCTTTTAGTAGACATAGGGAATTGACTCTGGGACTTCCTGAGGATATCAAAACCCACAGATGCTCACAGTATTTATGCAAATACCATGAGTTTTTGTATGTTCCTTATAAAACATGAGTTTCTTATAAAACATGATGTGGTATTTGCATAAGACCTATGCATATCATCTCAGATACTTTAAATCTTCTCTGGATTACTTTTAATACCTAATGCAATATAAATGCCATTTAAATATGTGTTACATTACATTTAAAAATTTTTGGTTTTTATTATTGTATTGTTATTTTTATTGCATTTTCTAAATATTTTAGATCCACAGTTAGTTGAATTGAGGTAGAGAAGGCTTACTATACTTAAATATATTAATTTCCATCTAGAACTGTATTTTGCTTTATATTGATTATGATAACATTCTGATGTGCAGAGCCTGATACTGTGTTAGGTAGTGCTTTCACTTTATTTTTTTTAACTAGGTTATTATGAGTAACATAATAATTGTAGTGTTTTCCTCTCTTGTTTATTTCTTGATTAGGAAATGAAGACCCAGAAAGGTCTCAACTAGTGTCCTTTATATTACCCCATAGCACTTAGCATGAATCTAAACAAACAGGACTCATTAGATACTCAATGACCTAAATGCTTATTTTATTTTGCCAAACTCTCTTTGTTTGTTTTCTTTCCAACTTTCTCTACAAAGATTAATTTTAAAGTATTCACAAGAAGTAGCCAATAGTGTAGAACAACATATAACCTTGAGTAGGTCAGGGAATTTGCATGAAAAATAATAATGTGGACTTGTGAATATAAAAATTTGTAGATAATTTAAAAGAAAACATAGGACACAATCATACTTTGAACATTTGAGGAAAAAAAAATGTCCCATTTCTGAAAACCCAGCCTATAAATCATGTATTCAGCATATTAGCGATTTTATTTGAACATTTTCACCATTTAAAAACAATATTTAAATTATTGAAATAGAAACAAAACTGTTGTGTTTCTGATTATTTCTTAATTATCTACAATAAAAATGACTTTCTACGATGCATTCCACTTGACATCTAGAAACTTAGATTTCTAATATTGTTATTTTTACATAAATAATATTTTCCATTGAAAAGGTATCTAAGGCTAAATTATATATCTAAACTCATCATTAACATTTTGATATTTGAAATTTTAGATGTTTTCTATCTGTATAACTTTAAAATACAAATATTATATTATAAGTACTGCTTTTCCATTGAAAAACATGTTGGAACACAGTCGGGGTTAGTAAAATATTTTTATGACATATTTTAAAGGCCTTTGTTGAAGCTACTTCCCTCTTCAGAGGTTTTTCATTTGTTCTTGGGGAACAACAAATTTTAGTTATTTGAGATATTTTTGGATCACACAAGTGACATGAACTGGAACACCAAACTAAGGGCCACGTTTGGGGTTATTTATGATCGCTCTACTCAGCCTCACGGAAACAGAGAAATTTCCTTGATGTCCCCTTCTTTAGGTTTTTTTCGTTTTTTCTTTCTTTTCATTTTCCCCTCTCTTCCTCCTTTCCTGCACCCTCTCCACCCTTCAACCCACGTCTCTCTCTCTTTCTCATTTCCACTCACTCTGATGGCACAGCCCTCTGAGACCCCAGCTGTTCACTGTGGTCTCATGATATACTCTCCCTTTTGGGTGGATCCTATGCTTTATCCTCCATCCCCAACCTACAACCAAAAAAATTGGCTTTCATTTCAAATATTTACTAAGGTTACTGATTTCACTTTGTTTTTGGCTTTTGCATTTTCTTCCCTCTCTGCCAGCTTAGCAATGAAGTTAAAATACATTTAACATATATTATTAGGATTTGACTTGTTTTTATCAAAAGGATTGTTCTATGAGTCTGTTCTGCCATATGACAAAAATGAATGTCAAGAATATTTACTTTGAAAGATTAAAGATATATTATGTGTACTTATATTTTTATATATCCTAAATGAAATTATTATTTAATTTAAATGTTTATGAAATAACATTATTATGTCAGTAAAATTTCTTTAAAAAGCTTATTTTATAATATCATAGGGTAGATAATCCAGCAACTATTTTTTAATACAATGTGTCAGACACATCTGCTTTTAAATTTTAAGATTTTAGTATTATAATTATTCCACTTTTACAGAAATATTGGTTTACAGAAATATTGGATGGAAAGTAGAGTGTTCCCATGTACCCTCACAACTGCACCCCAGCCCTATTAATAATTTCTCCTATTATTAACACTTTGCATTAGTGTGGTACATTCATGACAACTAAAGAGTTAACGTTCATGAAGTATTATTACAAATATGTCTTCTGACATATAGTTTTGGGTCCTTTCAACAACTAGACAAAATAGATACTACCTCCAATTTCAAAAGTATGGAAACTTAGTACTAAATCTGGATTCGTTCAGAAATGTGTAAGAACAAGAACTCAGGCCCTTATTTTCACATTTCTTTCTATTTTAGCTACTTTGAGTAATATGATATTTTAACTATCTTTTGCTTGATGAAATATATGCTTGGTATTATCAAAGCAATTCATAATAGGAAAGCATTTTATCCTAAGATCTCATTTCAATAACTAGTATGCATATCTCATGCTTTTCTAGTGTAACTGTAATAAATTAGGATTAGGACACTAATTTGTGGTTGCTTTTCACTATGATCATACTGGGAATGAAAACTATTAATTCTTTTGCAAATACTCTTACTGTGGCCTAATTTGTCAGTTTTAAAAAATGTTTTATTGTGTGTATTAAAGTAAACAAGATGATGTAATGGGATACGTGTAAATAGTAAAATAGTTACTATAGTGAAGCAAATTAGCATATCTATTGTCTCACATTGTTCCAATTTATTTTGTTTTTGCCACAAGAGCAACTGAGATCTTTAGTGGGAATCCCAAATATGGGGCATTTTTTTTTGCCTGTGGTCTTCAGGTTGTGCATTTTATCTCTAGACTGTTCATCTTAAACATCTACTACTTTGTGATCTCCCATTTCCTCTCCATCCTATACCTCTAGTAACTAATTTTATTCTTTATATATGTATGTTTGACTCTTTTTTTTCAGATTCCACATGTAAGTGAAATCATGCAATATTTTTTCTTTTGTTATCTGTCTTATTTCACTTAATGCCCTTTAAGTTCACTCATGTTGTGGCAAATGTCAGGATTTTCTTCTTTTTAAGGCTAAATAATATTCCACTGCATATATATATATATATATGCAAAGAACTATTGCATATATATGGTATAGTTCTTCATTTGTCCTTCGATATTAAAGTTGTTTTCATATCTTGGCAACTGTGAATAATGTTTTAGTGAATGTAGAAGTGTAGATAATCTCTACAAGGTGGTGATTTCATTTCCTTTCAGTATATGCCTAGAAGAGGGATTACTGGATCTTACGGTAGTTCTATTTTTAATACTTTAGGAAATTCCATACTGTTTTCTAGAATGGTTACACCAATCTAAATTCCCACCAACAGTGTACAAGTTGTATCCACACCCTTGCTAACATTTGTTATCTCTAGACAATAGCCATCCTAAGGAGTCTGAGGTGATATACCTCATTGTAGCTTTGATTTGCATTCCCTGATAATTAATGATGTTGAGTATATTTTCATATACCTGTTGTCCATTTTTATATCTTTTTTGGAGAAATGATTATTCAGATCCTTTTTTAATGTGGCCCAATTTAATCTTGTTATAAGGCCTTGCTATTTGTCAAATAACAATATGAAACTACATCAACCCAGCAACAATACCTTATTTCTTATAAAACCTCAAGTCATTAATTTCCTTTTTTCCATGTTGATTATTGTTCTTCTTATAACTTTAACTGGTTTTTGGTAGCTGGTTATGTTTTTGTTTAATACCCACTATAGGACCTAAATAGCAAAGATATACTACCTTATCTGTAAATTATTTCTGTGTATAATGGTGGCCACAGTAAATCTATACCTTTTATTTATTAATTGGGAAGTCATTTTATATGTACAGATAGATCTATACAAGTAATCTATACAAATAGTGGTTTATGTTGATTTAAATAGTATTATCAGAACTGATTACACTGTAATGTAAAAAAGTTGATACTGTTTGTCTTAAAAGCAAACATGTGTTGCATCTAATTTATTTCAAGTATGGTTTACCTCTCAGTGCTGGTAGGAAATCGGTTCCAGAATCTCCCTCAAATATGTGAATTCACAGATGCTTAAGTCCTTTATATAAAATTGGCTAGTATTTGCATATAACTTATACCCATCTTCCCAAATACTTTAAATAGTCTCTAGGTTACATATAATACCTAACACAATAGCTACATACCTCTTCATTCATGTGGTTCAACAAAGTACTTGTGTAGCAAATTCAAGTTGTGCTTTTTAGAACTTTATTAAATTTCTTTTTCCAAATATGTTTTATCTATAGTTATTGAATTCATTACTGAGGAATCCATAGATACAGAGGGCTGATCATCTTCTGTATATTAGTTAAACCCAGTTTCACTCATCCCTTCCCTCAACGCTTTGGCTTAACAGTAACTTTGAGTGTCTTGGCATGATATAAAACGTAACACACTACACCTAAAGGAAATGAGCCCAAATCCAATGTTCTGCATATTCTAACACAACCATCATTAGTTCCTGTAACTTATAGAATTTTAAAAGCATGATATATTACTATCATACTAATTGAAAATATATTAATATAACTGTATGTTTTATATTATAGTGAATGGACATCCAATACTAAAACGAGCTAACATTCAGACTGTTGGAAAGTTGGTGGCCAGATCCATAAGAGAAAGGAAAATGAGACAACGTTATAAGTCATGAAAGGTTGAATGATGTTACTAACGTATTATTACCTACAGTAGTGAAACCTCTCTACTCAAAGATAAAGGTTAACATTGGAGATAGATCAATTCTGTATCAACAGGAAAAAAGGATAAAAATCTTTTTATATATAAAGGACTTTGACAAGTTCATAGTGTCTCTGGATGAACACCATTCATTTGATCTTCTGTTTTATCATAATGAAGTGAACCTACATAGTGTCAGGTACTCCTTTCATTGGACTATAATTTATGTTGATCCATTACCAATAAATAACATAAAGAAACTTTAAACTTTTTATTTCTAAAACTTATGAATCTGGTATACAATACTGTCCTTTATCACTTAAATTTTTGGGAAATGGTTCTTGGAAACTGTGTTAATTTTTGGTATAGTCGTCATATTATTTTTCCCTACTCATTGCTCACTCTAAAGTAAAAAAGTAAGAAGCAATATACAGTATTTCTGAGTTGATTTGCCTTAGCACTGAAAGAATTTTTGCTGTTGTTGTTATGGAGTCTGCCTTCGACACCCAGGCTGGAGTGCAGTCGCACAATCTCAGCTTGCTATAGCCTCCTCCTCCCATGTTCAAGTGATTCTGCTGCCTCAGTCTCCCGAGTAGCTGGAACTACAGGCATGTGCCACCACCACACCCAGCTAATTTTTGTATTTTTAGTAGAGAAAGGGTCTCACCATATTGGCTAGGCTGGTCTCAAACTCCTGACCTCAAATTATCCACCCGCCTTGGCTACTGCATCCAGCCCCAGTGCTGAAAGAATTTGAAGGAAAGTTTTCTTAAGAATCTTGAATTTAATTTGATCCAGTCCTCTAACCATCTTTCTATTTTGAATGGAATTAGAGAAACAAATGAGTAACAATGATTGAAAGAAAAGAGCCTATGCATAGCATGGAAGCTAAATATGAAAAGAGCTACATGGAAGCTAGATATGAAAAGGGAACTACATGACAAATGTCCCATTGTTTTCACAGTTTTTACTTTGCATCGATTACTTCTGTAATAGTCTCTTTGGTTTTAAAACAAGCAAAAAACTCTTGGGTTACTTTTATGCAATTGAGTTTACTCTAAGAATATCTATGCAAGTTATTCAATCTTTAGAAAAGCCAATTACAAGAATCATGTTAAGTCAGGCCTCACCCAAACCAAAATCAAGGTGAACTAAAAACCATGATGAAGATCTAACCAGAAAATTGTAACAGAAAAACATTTGATGTGGGGGGAGGAAGTGATTACTAGCTAAAGCTAAAATGTAGAATTTGGCTTACATGTGAAATTAAATTATTCATATTCTCCTTATTGATAATTGAATTTCATTTTAAAGATAGAAGTATTTTTTGTTTATATCCTGAAAAAGCAGAAAATGCACAACTTTTTAAAAAAGGAAAAAATTACACAAGTTGAATATAAGCATGATTACAAGTCATCAGCCTGCTCCTTTTTAAAATATAATTAGAACAAATATTTGGCTAGATTTCAACCACTGCTATTCTAAAAACATTAGGAGCAAAATCATGGAGTTATAATGAAAGGCACTTACAAAATAATATGTTTTTTTTAATGAGTGTTGTATAATCACTATTTCAAGTAGTAAATATATTTATAAGAGAAAATTAATACTGTCAAAATTACTTTATAAAAATATAAAAATTGTTACAGTTATGACAGTTTGGTACAGGATGAGGAAGTTCACTTTTCCTTTAATAAAATGTGGTAGTTCTTGTTTCGGGTTTTCGACATTTGACTCCCTGATTTTTAGCAAGCTGAAGTAAGGCTACTGAATGTCTTTTAGAGGTGTGAGCCTACATTAAGTTCAGTGACAATATTTCACTCTAGACCTGTAGAAGACGGTGTAAGGTCATGGAAAAGAAGCCTTCACTTTTCAATAGTCAGTTTCTATATAAAAATTGGCACTTGGTGCTCATCAAAGAACAAGAAATATTGGATATGCTCTAAATGTCCATTGTGTGTTTGAGCCAACTACCTGATGGAAGTCATCACTTATATGTAAATGAACTGTCAGTGGCTTGCCACAGTTGGCAATCACTGGACTGTGAAGGGTATGTCTTAATAAGAACTGAAGCTCTTCACAGACTTTGATTTACTGGAAATAAAATAGAAAAGTCCTCTGAGACTACAAAGGACACTTGTTTCAGATAAAACATCTAGACAGTAGCAATACATTTAGGGCTTTTATTATAGCAAAACTGCAAATTAGAATGGAGTGGCGAGAAAGTTCCTGTGACCCAGCTGAATTCTAAAACACTGCTTCTGACTAGAGTAATATGATCTTTAAAATAGCTAAGCTAAATTAAATAAAAGTGCATTAAGGAAAAAAACAGAAACAATGCAAGGTCAAGATTCAGATTTGTTACATCTTTTAAATTGTCTATGACTTATATATTACATCTTCTTATAAATCTATATTTTTCTTAATCAATGCAACTATTAGAATAGTTGAAAGCCAAACTTCTCTGGTTCTGTAACATGGACTGCTTCTCATAAAATTCAAGTTTAATAGGATTTTTCTTGTCTGTTCATTCCTTTTCCCAACTTTCATCCCAAGCACAACCACAATTGAAATACTAAATTCTGTGTAACTATGAATATTTTTATTGTTGTATTAACAATAATATATTTGTAAAATGCTTTTGAGTTTGCAGTCTACTTTTGCACCAATATGAAGCAGCTTGAATACGTAGATCACATTTTTATATTGACTATTTTCTCCCGAAGCACAGTATGTTCACAGATTATAGCAGGCAGGCTAGGTTAAAAGCTTTAAACAGCAATCCTCATAATCCCATTGCTCACTTTACAGTCCAGTGTGAATAGATAGGGACTCTGTTTCATTCTTTAGGGCCAGCACTGCAGTCTTTGCACCCAGGCAATACACAAAAGGGAGAATGTGGAGAAAGCATACTGATTTCTTAGCCACTTCAATCTGAACTTGGAACTTGTCACTTCTACTCACATTCTAGTGGGGAGAATTTGTCAGCTGGTTTCTTCTAAATTCCAGAGGGCTAGGAAATGTGGCCTAGCTTTGTATCAAAGAAGAGAACGTGTCAATATCTACCATAGAAAATTAGTTGAATTCCTCATTGTTTTAGGAAACAAGAAATATTTTAAATAGCTTCACTTAGATTGTCATAAATCTGGTTTAAGATTTTTATCATAAAAATATTCCAAACAATCTAGCCTTTCCTAGTTTCTTCAAGATTTTCATGATAATTCCTTTGCACAATTCATCAGGAATCCTGAAAACAGCTAGCATCAATGTAAAGAAAACATATATTTTTAGAAACATTATCAATAGATGCTTTTTCCTTCTGGAAGTTAAAGAATTCTGGGTTTTATTTTTGTTTATTTTTGGTTTTTGTTACTCAAATATAAATTATGTCAAGTAAATAATTTTAGTAATATGTTGATAAGAATCATTTTTATTATGAAAAATTTAAAAAAAGATCAATTCTCAGTTTGGGAAATAGGCTATCAGAAAATAATACTTCCAGAACAGTGGAGAGGAGCACAAAATGATATCATCTCCAGATTTTTCTATGTAAATAATCAAGAAAAGAAAGGCCAATAAAATGGTGATAAGACATGATCATCTTACATCTCAGAAGTAATTCTTAACTTTATTCCAATAGGTTGAAGAATTCAGAATTACTTCTCTCTCTCTTTTCCCTCTCTTTTATGACTTGGAAACAACTCAAGGGAAGGAAAAAGAGAAAACTTAAAGAAAAATATTCTAAATAGATTTGTTAAAAGTTTTGAACAAATGTGCTAGTATAAATCTGCTGTCTTCAAGATTGCAAGATCTTTCTAGAATAAATCCTTACACTTCCAAGCTTTGGGATTGTTAAACAAATTCCATATTGGATATTTTAATTTGTGTGTCTCCCAATTTTTTTGAGAAGTCTGCACATTTTGCTAATTTTCTGCATTGTAAAACATGCATTTTCAATGTAATAATAATAATAATAGGAATACACCAAACACTATTCAGCCTTCCTTGCTCCCACAGAAAACTCTGCTTTAGAGCTTGGTTATGTAGGCATAAAGGGCAAGCACAGAGCATTTGTCCTACTGGTACACTTCCTGTTAGGGGTCAGGTTCTGAGGTCAGTGGCTGTGAGGTGGCTTTCTGATTCAGTTTCCTGATTTTGGCAAGTGAGTTCTGGGTAATACAAGGAGTAATTCATGGAACACCTCTTGCAATATGTTTCTTCTGCAATCCCAACAATTTTGAGTTATCTATGTGTCTTAATAAATTTCTTTCTGATTAATATAGCTAGCGTTACCCTGTCTTCTCTGAGAATCCTGACTCATCAATTATCCTTCCTTCCTGCCTTCCTTGCTTCCTTCCTTTTTCCCTCCTCCCTTCCTTCCTTCCTTTCATCACTTCATCTTTCCCTCTCTTAGTATTAAATAATGGTAGGCAAGAAATCCTCTATTAATAAAAATATATGTAAAAGTTAAGGTGCAGTTTTCAAAATGAAGACTGTTGATGTATTCCATAAGCATATGCCAGATATCAGATATCCTGGCATGTCACATTGTTCGAGGCAATCCTAGTTCCACTTTTCCTCTGCATATTACTGCAACTTTATCTTACTTGAAAGAATATTTGATATCCTAAATAGTATTCCTGTAAGTGATTCTCTATATAAGAACAGGCAAAGGTATCAGAAATGTAACTTTATATTTGATAGCAGGATGATAATTTTATATAACTCCAGAGGCTTGACAGTTGCTTATAATTCACAAAAATGAAAAGATGCAATAGGAAGATATTTATCAATTTAATCTCTCTGAATTTTGACAACATATATATTAAAGACTAAGATATATTTGTAAATTTAGTACAATTTCAATGATAATGTAGTTATTCTGGAAGAAACATCTCTCATGTAATTATATGACTAACAAGAAATATTGGGACTTTATAATGAGTGAAATATGATTATAATGAAAACTGATATTGCCTTATGCATATGTAGGTTCTATAGATTTTCATTGTAAACCAAGATACATGGCTAATCTGTAAAAAAGCCTGAAAACATATGTCTTTAAAACATCACCAGCTTTTCAATCTTAATTGGTGATTTTCTTGATAAAAGTGTTTTTTTAAAAATAAAAGAAAAATACCAACAACAAAAAAAGACTGTTAGGTTAAAAATGTGTGTAACTATCTTATAGAATGGAGTAGCTGTTGTAGGTATTACTTACCCAGTCT